GTGGTTCAGGACTTCATGGCCTTGATGACAACCATAGGTCTGTCTCAAGTGGTATCTGGCCCTACTCATGCTGCTGGGCACACTCTGGACCTTGTTTTCTGTGCTGGGTGGGGTGATGATGATCTTGGTGTGGTGGAACTTTCCATAGTTCTGTTGTCATGGACAGATCATTATCTGATCAGGTTTAGGCTCACTGGGACTTTGAACCTCTGTAGGGGTGGGGGACTGGAAATGGCCAGGGCAGTGGACACAATCACTCCTGATCATCCCCTCTTATGGACTGAAGCCAAACCAGCTCCCTGATTCTCCAGAGAGTTGATGGTGATGAAGTGAGTGAGATGGAGACTAGACCGACATTGACTCAAAGTGAGTCTGACTGAACACGGGCTACAGCCTATTTGAAGGCCTATTTTGTGGCAATGTGGGCAGCAAAGAAATTATTTTTTGCTGCTAGCATTGCATCTGCATGGAGCCATCCAGCAGAGCTGTTCTGAGTGGTCAGGGGTCTTTTACTCACTCACCCTCAAGTAGAAAATGCAAATTCTACACACTGTGAAGAATTTGCACAGCACTTTGCAGACTCAGGGGGGAAGCAGACCAGGGCATCCAGGATGCCCTGGGACAGTGCGCTGCAGGACCGTGGCATCCGCACCGTGGCGCACCGGCGGCGTCCCTGAAAGGAGTGCTAAATTGGCACTCCTTTCAGAAGTCAGGGAAAGTGCACCCTAAACGTGTAGGGCGCACTTTCCCTGGCTTTTCCGCCGCAGCGTGTGCGGACACTGCGGCGGGAGGTTGCCCCCAGAGCGCCAGCCATGTGGAGGGCTGGCAGCTCCGAGGGCAACCTCAGGAGGAGGAAGGGGCGCCGTGCGTGTGGCTGCCCCTCCTCTTCCCTGCCTCGGAGACGACTCTATTAGTCGTCTGCCGAGGCCCAAAGTCATTCAGATCCACTCCAACTTGGATGTTGTAGTTGATACAATGCCAGTGGATATAACCTTAGCACCTGTCTGCCCAGCATTAATGGATACTTTTCAACTTGTACGGCCTGATGATGTGGACAGGATCCTTAGAGAGGTGAAAGCCACCACATGTGTCTTATATCCTTGTCCTTCTTGGCTGATTAAACAGGCCAGAGGGAGACTGGCTGAGTGGGTGAAGGAGGTAGTCAGTGCCTCCCTACAACAAGGAAAAGTCCCAATGTGCCTAAAAGAGGCAGTTGTGAGACCCTTGTTTAAAAAGGCACCCCTGAATCCCACTATAATGTATAATTATTGACCAGTGTCCAGCCTACCATTTTTGGGCAAGGTACTAGAATATGTGGTGGCTTCCCAACTCTAGGGGTTTCTGGATTAAACGGATTATCTAGATCCATTTCAATCTGGTTTCAGACCTGGCTATGGAACAGAGACAGCTTTGGTTGCCTTGGTGGATGACCTACACAGGGAACTGGACAGGGAGAGTGTGTCCCTGTTTGTTCTACTAGACCTCTCAGCAGCTTTTGATACCATTGACCATAGTATCCTTCTGGGCCACCTCTCTGGGATGGGACTTGGAGGTACTGTTTTACAGGGACTCCATTCCTTCCTAGAGGGGCAAGCCCAGAAGGTGGTGCTGGGGGACTTCTGCTTGACCCCCTGACCATTGGCATATGAGGTTCCTCAAGGTTTTGTGTTGTCCCCTATGCTATTTAACATATACATGAAACCATTGGGAGAGGTTGTCCAGAGTTTTGGGGTGCAGTGTCATCAATATGCAGGAAACAGCTTCATTGGCTGCCAGTTTGTTTCCGGGCACTATTCATAATGGTGGTTATGGCCTATAAAGCCCTATTTGGCTCAGGTTCTGAGATCCTCTGAAGAGGCACTTCTCCCAGTCCCACCACCATCACAAGCACGGCTGGTGGGGATGCAAGAGAGGGCCTTCTCAGCGGCTGCCCCTAGATTCTGGAACTCCCTTCCCAGGGGAACCTTGTTGGCCTTCTGCTGGCAGGCTAAGACCAACCTGTTCAGAAAGGCTTTTAAAACTGAATGTTTGTAAAGGCCCAGCTTGGGATGTTGTTCATTTTAAAGTGTTTTATACAGTTTTATCTTTTTAAAAATGTATTT